TACAGTGTTAAGGTTTTTTTTTAACTTTTGGTCCTAACTAGGCTTGTCTTATCATCTACGTGTCCCGCCATTGTTTTGATGCTTTGAACGAAATTGTTTAGCCTCAATAGGCCATTCTATAATAGACCAGCAAGATATCGAGCCAGAATTCATTCTTAAGGTACTCACGCTGCGGTCAGGAGCCTTTCTCGTCACACATGACCTTTCAATCTGCCGAGTAATCCTGTGTGATCTCTTCCAGGTAGGGCGGAAGGTTTTGCCTCTGCATCTTTGATCTGACTGACCTTTATGTTAGACACACTGTTGGGCAACTATTTTGAGGAAATAGGCTATGTTTGCAGCTTTCGTTGAAATATTACTAGTCGTAGACAAGCTAGAATTTCGCTTTGTACATTAATTCTAGTTTTCGTAGATGGTCTGGTTATCTTCTGTAAACGTGTTCGTCTATTCTGTTACTAATTACTCTTAGGGTCCAAGGCGCTAAAAAGACGAATACATCGCATGGCCAAAATGCTTATCTCTAAACTGTGCCGAAATATACCTGCGTTGATTGTTTTTTTTTTTTTTTTGTCTGTTACGACTATCACTATTTCTGTGCCCTTTTTCATTAACATATCTATTAATTACGTCTGCATATGTGTCTTGCTTGTTGTTGATACTGCTGTCAAGCGAATGAAGTGAGAATAGACATTTTGAAGTCGATTTTGTAATCGATAATAGTACTTAAGTTTTCTGTGGCCTCGATATCTATGAATATGACGAAGTGGGCGTCCTTCAAAATGACGCCATTCATATTCATAATTGGTGATGCAGTTGCCATTTTGCATACGTTACTGATTTGTTTCACGTCTGGCGTTTTTTGCCTCGTATGACCTTCAAGGTCGATGGAGTGAATGCTCCATAATTGTACATACGATTTTATATGGAGAGGCAGGTGGGCTGGTATAGGGTTGTTCAAGACAAACCAACTGTATAGTCCAAAAGGGAAGGGGAACCTTGTCTTGAAGTTGTTTCATTTTTAAAAGATTTGCAAGGTACGCACTGCTACCACATTATGAAATACTAATGTTTTTTTCGGTGTAATCCAACAAGATCTTTTAATCTTTCGTTGACAATGGCAGACTGTTTCATGTTGTCCATGTTGGACTCCGTTAAGCCTAAATCTCGTATTCCAGATTATCGCAGATTTCTAATATGCGTAAATCCAAAAGCCTAATCAAGCATCGTATATGGCAATAACCTCGAAGGCGATCATTTGACATGGTCACTATCCGATATGTTAGCAGAAAATGCTCGAAACTCCTTATAATCAGCGAAGCGCAACTACATCAAGTTTAGCTTAGAATCAAGCTTAGAACTTCTCAACAATTTTTTGTGGATTCTCCCGGACTGCAATAGAACAGCTCAAGGAAGGGTAGGATAGGGTCACATAGAGACAGGTAAAAGACTATGCAGCTACTACACCTGATTTGGCCGTGGTCTGAAGAATCAACTCTGAACATTTTATATCCCCCTGAGAAAGTCGGCCGAGGACGTTCCTTAAACACATGAAGTCTAAGAATCAGTCATCCAGAAAGTTTCAGCCGCATTCGGCACGGACATTCAACAGGGCTGATTGAAAAATAGTAAATTACTGAAGTTCACAAATTGCTTCGCTAACTGCTAATAGGATCTTATAAATTCTTGCAAAGTCCTTCGCTTTTGCCCGTTCGCCTATTTCGACTAAAGGAGATGCGTTGTTCCCAACTGAAACCGTCTTATAATTTTCCCTAAGCAAAGAAAAGTCGATCTGCTTGATTAATAGCATGCCCATGTCGGAATGTTATTCTATTCATAGTTCTTGTATAGAGTGGTGATGAGCGCTTTCTGCGGCGCTCGTCGTCAAGCTGAGAAAATATTGTCAACAGAGCACTGTTGCAACGAGTCAAAGGCATAGGAAATGTCGAGCGATGGCGTATACCACGTTTGGTTGGACAACGAATGAACATTGTTATGCCACCGAAAGCTAGTTCAATCAGTCAGGATCCATGGACACATAACAGGTTAGACGTTCCACCAAGTCAACGAAAATTTGGTTTTTGAAACATCATCATACGGTCTGGACATAGAAGCTCGTAAATTTCTACGAGCTTATGAATGAAGTCAATGATCTTTACTTGAAACACTTCGAAATAATTTAGCAATAAAGCAAATCTATGGTAAAAAAACACATCCATCATAGAAATGACGAACCTGAACAGTTTAGATAGGCCGCAACCAATAACAGTCTGAAGATCTTGATCACTCGCGCTTCTTTCTGATAAAAGCGAGCAACGACTAACGGAACATTACTGATCCCCTCAAATTTGAAGACGCTGGAAAGGTCTCGTTTGCTAGCCAGTAATTTTTTTCGATAGATAACTCCTTTTTTAGATCCTCCTAGATAAGAGATTTTTGAGCAGCAAATATTCTTGAAACGCAGAAGTTTGTTTTATTCGCGTCAAAAAACCATACAAGGTATTCCCAGTGTGTCGCAGTGCTACTATGCTATGCCACAGCAGTTATCTCACTGCGGACCTGATTCGTACGCGTTTAGAAAAGAACCGTCTATATCTGACTTCATGAAGACAAGTTTGATTCGTACTTTTGCCTTCGTCTTTTGGCTTCGGAAGCCACATCGAGATTTGGTCGATAATCGTCAATCTTCTTATTACATTTGCGGTCTTCTCAGCTCAGTAAATCACATTACCACTGGGCTATAATAGCGATTTCTTTTTTGTTCAATGCACTTGATTGTATAAATCCTGCTTCGAACGCTCAGCGATTTGTTAGCTGTAGGATCTGATAGGTGAACATCCACTATCTCTGGCTAAACGATTCCCGTAATAATAAATCGTTTGAGTTCACTTTAAAATGTGCAGACGTGTTTAGCACTTTCTCCAGTTGCCGGTGGTTTCGAAATTCGCTCGGTAGAAACCGCTATGGCCATTGAATTTGGCATCACGTTAAGCATATTGCCTCCTTTGGTGACATATAAGGTGGCACTTTGAAGCGACCCTTGAATTTTCATTTTAACTAAAGTTGCCCCCCGAAATAGATAGATAGATAGATAGATAGATAGATAGAAGAAGTCACGCATAGAATAAATAACGTTATTTCCTGTGTTTCTCTACTCGTTTTTCTATTGTATATGCTCATGTCGTTTGTTAATATCCGCTGTTCTTTGTGTCTTTGCGATGTGACACGTAGCAGATGACTCTTGGCTACCGTGAGCGAGTGTCTTAATGAAATAGTAAAACGTTGACCTATACAGACCGTCGCCAGCGTGGACACCACAACGACCGACCGGCGGTTAACCGTTCATTTCTTTCCATGTTTCAGCTCATTGATTTGTAATCTTTGGAAAGTAAACAAGCCAATATGGCGATAGTTTAAACTGAACCAAGTTTTAGATAAATAGACGAGAAGCTGAAATCGGTGGTCAGCGCGTCTTGCCACTATGAAAGACAGCACTTCGTTTGTCTTTCGTATCGTATAGTTGGAAAGCGGTATACGTGTAAGATGGCTGGACGTCCATCACGTTCCGCCAAAATGAAGTTATTCTTCTAAACGTTTCGTTCAGATTACTACAGTCCGCTAGGACTGATACGTCTGACAGGATTTAGCCACAATTTGAAAAGAGACACGCTGTGCCGAATATTCAGCTATTTTTTTATTAACACAGTGTTCTTGATCGTGCGTTACGGCGGCCAAGCGTTTGCGTGGCAACCTTCTACTAGGAAATCCTAGTAACTGCGCGAACTTTTAACCTTCCAGTGCAATTCAGACGCAATATTAGAAGTTAATTAAAATATTAGTGTGTATCGACCAACAAAATGACGGTCCGTAATCTAGTCAACGTAAACATGTTATTTTTCGTGTTCTACATCCGGTACTTAGGTTCTATATCGACACACAAGTTTACGTTTTTTCGGATCGCTGGCTTACGGCCAGAAACGGGGCAGCGTGTCTGTGCTCAAAATCGAACAAACTACATACATACATACATACCTTGTAGTTTCTAAAAAATTTCTCAACTCATTAACTTTACCTTTTATTGGGTAAGATAAATAAGCACCTAATTAACAAAACCACTATAGGCTTTTTCGAAAACTGATTCTGATTGAGACGCACTGAGGGTCATCTACGTGAAGGCGCGACGTTTTTTTAGCGATTAGTTAAAGCATCTTTATTCCTGCTATCTTTCTCCTACCGTGGCGGTAATAATCCGAATCTTCGCGTGGATGTCAGCGTCTGTATAGTTGTGTTTCGCTTGTGACGCAATTTTTCAGCGGTGGCAGCGGTATATTTATTGGTGCCGCGATTCGTTGCAAGCTAACAGACTTGTCACGCTGCAAACGCCAAGAGTCGGCACCTGTAGCAAGCAGCTGACTGTTGCAATTACAGTGTGCGTGGACCGGGCGGTTTTCCAAAGAATCAGATAGGGATTTACCCAGGCATCGTCGTTGTGGCTGCCGCTGTCCCCACCGTTGCACCCATCGACGCGGTCATCACTGATTCTATTTTTACGGCGGTAGTACCACAAATGCGGCACGGTGGGCCGCGCGGCAAGAGGCACCGAACTATCTGTCAGACTGAAAGGGCATTTTTGTGGCATGCCATAGTCGTCGCGCCGCTGCTGCTGCTGCTGCTAATATGAACCGAAATGGTTTACCGAATGGCAGGTAGAAAGGGATGGTGGTTGAAAGAAAAGAAGAAAGCGAAAAAGCCTTTGGGGAGGTTTCAAGGTGAAGAGCGTGTGCACCGTTCGCTCTGCAGCGTTGCGTGCTGGTTGACGTTACGTTGCTACGGTAAACGTCTGTGTCATTCGGTTGTGAACTACGATAATATGAGCAGGTTGAGAATATGTGAGTTGCTTTAAATGTCAATGCCATGCTAACTGTGATATTTAAATTTGCTCGAAATTCGAGCTAAAATTAGGACTTGGGAAGTAAGTATATAGTTTTTGAGGAAAACTTGCATCTTTCCATTCGATTCCAAACAAAAAAGTTCAACCACTACTTTACGTAAGTGCTATTTGGTTAATATCTTATGTTGTTTATGGTTTTTAGTGGTACCATTGGATATATGACTAACTATACGTCACAGCGATTGAGTATGCGTAAACTTAATCTAAATAGGTGGCAACGCGGAACGACGTTACAATAGAATTTGTAGATGCGATCATCTGCCAGAGATGATGATCCGAGCGCTTTTTTTGATTGTAGGACTACCTACAGGACAGCCGCAAATGCTTATTTCGAAAAAGTATAATGCTAAATATGTGGTTCCTGGGAGTGAACAAATTTGGTTCTAGTCCACTCTGATCATCATGATCGAAGATCGCTTTTGATTGAATGACCATTTGAATGTGGTAAAGATACATATGTATGGCAGTGTAGGCGATGTGGCCTACACAGCAGGTTAGGCAGGACAGTTGGCAAAATATTGGCTCTAATATTAATAGTAGTCACGATAAAGGCTCTCGCACACCAGCTAGTCAACGCATTAATAGTTTGTTAATACAAACTCATGATTATATTGGAAAGTTGTAATATTGGTACCTTTTACAACTAGAACCTATTTCAGCATGTTGCTAGTTTCTTACTGTACGAAATAAACGGATTAAAAAGAAGTAAAAAAAAAATGTGACGCAGATACTCCTAGTCCTTCGGCCGCAGGAGAAATTTTCCTAGCGATTCTATCTTAAAGCGTTTCTCACGCTAAAAGAAGCCCAACTAGATTAATTAAAATATTCATTATTTGAGTTACTACTGCTAGATATTTTAACCAATTAGCCCAGATATTAGAAAAAAATAACAAGCTTCCATTGACACGTAGAACGTAGATCTTCTTTTTTCAATCGGGGTTCTAATTCACACGTGTTTCTTCTCAAAGTGATCTGCGAAATCACCTCTGTACCCCAGGTCCTTATTTCTCTTTGCGTTATAACGTCTGGCCTTGTTTCATGTGATAATTTGGCCTCTGATTTTCTTCCTGGACTAAGCGCCTCACGCTCCAGACTCCTCGTCTTTCTTTTATTTCTATTACGCATGCGCGCTACGCAATTAAACTACATTGCAAGCCTTCCAACCGAGGCTTGTATTCCATCTGTATATAACTGTTCACAGTATTGGCAGTATATGCCGAATTAGCGTATGCTTTACTAGACACGAACATCTCTTTCTACAGCTTGTATATTGCCATGAGCCTTAAATGACGATCACTGCTGTAAGCCGTTCATGCACCTCCATTTTTGTCACTTTTCGTTGCGCCCTTTGATTTGTATGCGTCATTCGTATTCAACATTTTCATTCGAAGTTCAGGCCAAAGATCTATACCGGTTTCAAGTAACTCGCTAATTGAAATCCGGTAACCTATTGTAAGTTAATCTGGAGCTCAGATTTTAGTAGAGGGCAACCCTGTAGCTTCGATTTGCGCTAATGTTACCCGTTAGGCTACTCGGCCAGTGTAATAGCGACAGCAAGGTGCAAAAAGAAAATGGAAATGTCTATTTTTTTAAAAAGGTTCTAGTAGTCGGGATCCCGGGACAGAACGTTTTTAACTTACAAGAAATCAGACCAAGACAGCTACATGAACAAACTTGTAGTAATCGATTAATACAATTAATTTTTCTTGGCCCTTTGCCTGAGATGCTTCATAACTTCAGGTTTTGGGGTCTCTCCGGGTATTGCGAAAACCGCAAGGTGCGCACGCTCCCCGACTTCCAAATAAGATAAACGGGAATCAGTTCACTTCGAAAGTCTCCGTAGTGCTGCTCGTAGGCAGACAATTTACGAAGTCGAATAGGCCCCTCCTAAAATCATTCAAATGACATGATACGATACTTATCGTTGTCTCTGACGTGAGACTCTGATTTAAACGAATATTGTCGCTTTTCCGAGTTGGGACGTGAGGCCCCTGAATTGTTGAAGTTAGAACACCAACGAATTGAAGGTATATGAGGATTTCTATTACCTGAAGCACCATTATCTGAAAAAAATTACCAAGAGCATCGATATAATTATTTGTAAAATAAGCAACGGATAATAGGAATGGAGTTCTGATTTGTAAGTAATATACCTATTGTCGTTTTCTAGCTGCTGCTTTTAGAATTTAAATGAGCCTTCCTACATAAAGGATATAAAACATTTGTTTTTCCTTTCCGAAAAATACACAGGTACCGCCGATTGTAGTAAATAACACAGATTACATTTCATTTGCACAATAATTCCCTTTAATCAATATACTAAACAGAACGTCCATTTTACACAGATAGCGCTTATCGTAGCAAATCTAATTTTTGAAAGTGTCTGAAAATCAGTGAACTGTTACTTATGGTCGTCGTCGGCGTTTCCTCTACTACGTCGTCTAACTCTGATTCAATAATATTTGAGAATATTTTTCGGGCGGTTTCGTTCAGAGTTTCGTAAACTTCAATAACTTCAGAAGTTTTTTAGAGGGAATTATATGTGCGACGTACGCAGCCTTGTCATTCAAACAGTACGAGGCTGTTTGTTAAAGTCGATTGAAGGTTCGAGCCGCACAGCTGTACTACGTATTTAGAAGTTAAATAAGACTGGATGCTATCTATCCAGACCGGGTGTCGAGAACCATGTTGTGATGTTCGACATCTTCGGAAAATCGCCGATCGGGTCGGCCGCCGATCAATCTCAACGTTTTTCGTCTCCGGCGAATAAAATCAATATCTTAACGAAATTCTCAGTACTTCGAAAAGAAGCAACTAGTCGGCCGATATCTGACAAGCGGCGTACGGGGTTTGAATCAGCTTTCGACTAGCGGCTAATAGACGCGCGTGTATCAAACATATCTATATGCGGAGTTGATAGGTGGTCAGAGACCGGCAGCTGTAATACTTCTACTACTATAAACAAAGGCTAATGTGAGCAACAAAAAAGAAGTCTTCCTATGGCAACAATTCTAACACCTGCGTAAACTATACAACTATGAATCGCAGCACCTTTGTTCGTCAGGGTTCTGAAAAACAGCATCTCAGATAACTGCCTATGTCCTACGCTTGCTAGGAAGGCCTTTGACTACCACATAACAGTGTAAGATCTATTTTAAACAGGCGGTTCGAATAAGCTAAAGCTCTAAGGCTTGGAAAATCGCAGTTGGCAGTTGTTAAGGTTGAAGCCAACAAAGCGATCGGCGTAAAACATGTTTTATACACACAAAGACGATCTGCGAGTTTCTTCTTCAACAAAATCAGATGAGATTCGAAATTGCCATTATATATATAGACAATAAAGGCAAAATGGTTTCTGGCTTCCAATTACAATTACATCGTCACTTTGGTTACGTTTACGTGTAATTATAGGTTATATGTCTGTTTGCTAGATACTATGAAAGCGACTGCCTTTTTAATATAATTGTAGTCTGCAACATGTGGTGTCGAATTTGGGTTAATGGTAAATAAAATTTATTGAATAAAGCACAACCAACTGTTTCGTAAGGCTCTCGTCCGCACTTTCCTGATTCGGCTGGTAAGCGTATACCTCAGGAGGAACTAAAATCGCATATTTACTAACTAATTACGATTTGATTTTATGGTGAGCGGGGAAATTATCTGAGTATGCACCTTAAACTTCTTTAAATCGCGATGTTTGCTAACGCCTATCATACTAGTGCAAAATACTTTGGTAATTATACGGACCGAATGTAAAGGTACCCCCTTAAGCATAGTGGCTTGAACAGTATGAAGCTGGTTTAGTAATTCCGAGTACAAAACCTGATCGGATCGGATCGATGACAAAATAGCATTCCACGCGTTTCTGTAAAGGCCGAGCAAACCTATACCAATAATGATATTCAGGATGATTGCCAAATCAAACGGATGCCGAAGTGCTGACGAATGTTGACGTAAGTGTTTAAGTGGACAGCTGGCCAGTTATTCTCGGTGACATGCAAAACGCGATAGCTGACATTTTTCTCGTTGTATACCGATTGAAGCATTACCTAAAATCTACTTATATATGATAAAAAGCCTACAAAAAAAAAGTTTCCTATTGTGCGTTGTGTCATCGAAATAAAGCTTCCCATTGATATTCGTTTGTTCGGGATTAGATCATACGATTACCACTGCCGCGTAATTACCGCCATTTGCCTTTGAAATCACGTATCCGATGCCAATTATTAGTTGTAGTTCTTTTTTAGTAGAGACAGTGAGTACGCGTCGAAAGCCCGGCTTTACAAGAGCATGCCAAGGTCCAACGTATCGCAGACGTTCGATCGCGTCTCATGCGTTTAATTATTTGTAATTTTGTCTCCGTCAAGTCAACTGGTAAATCGTAAATATTAAAGAACGAGAAGAATATTAAAAATGATGGCCACTGTCTCGTTGGTTTCTTTGAACTACTTCTATCGTTTATGAGTATCGCCCTGTATATATGGAATAACCAGCAATATTTACATTCCGATAAAGTATCCGTCTATGAATCCTTTGTTTTTTTCAAAATGTCGTCGCGAGTCATGCGCTCATCCTATGGTCCGTCCTGTCCCCCCCCTCTGGCCGCGTACATGTGCTAATAAGCGGATAAAGACGAATGGGTAACTGGTAGCTATATAAAACTATTACGGACACGCCATTTACGTGTGGCCTGGCTATCGCTGATCAATTTGTCTTGTAGCTTCAATTTCAATTTCACAAAAGCCGTGGAGAAGATGTGAAGTTTTCGTATCTTGTCGACCTGATCGATCGCGAGAAACTAGCGAATTTCGGCATCAGACTTTTGTCCCGTCTAAAGTCGACTAATTATGCGACAAAAAAAAAGTACTAAACCATGCCAAATAACTCATAACCATAGTAAAAGTAAGATAGTGCAGCGTCTATACTACTGACAGAAACTCCTAATAAAATCCGAAGAGTCGGACTGAAAACTAATAAGCTGGTTAACGCTAGTAGGCGCTTCGCGCTAATAGGGACCTTCATCCTCTCCTCTAAAAGCCCTTCAACATGTTTCATTACTTTACGTAAATAATTCGTGCATGGAAACAGTGTAAAAACAAAAAAAAGCCCAAGCTCAACGACAGCTCTTGGACTAGGCCAGGTTTACAGAAGCGTCCAATGATGAAACGATATTGAGCGTTTGTACAATTCTGGCCGGAGCTGAAAAGCTACACGCGATTTTTGTTTCGTTAATTTTACCCTTTCCTTGGGCCTTCTTTATAAAAGAAAGTTGCTAAAAATGTGGACTTCTCAAACGTTAACTGAAATCGTAAAAAACTTGTACTAGCTAACGCTAAGAAAAACATAGATGCTATCCAACAGACATATTAACAAATAAGTCATTAATTTGTTAATTTTCTGACGATAAAAATTCATCATTGTTAGAATTAAACCAGCGAGCAATAGTTCTACAACAGTGAACGCACCGAGTAGATAAAAGCTAACAAACGCCTAAAAATATACATAGCGCCTAACTTTTTAGGGCCATCACGGCTTGACCGCACTGATTTTTTTTTAATTCTCGGTGTAAGCCGAAATTACATATACGTGAGCAGTATAATGAGCTATTTAATAACATTCATGGGTCAAATTAAATATGGCATACGATATCAACTAGCTGATCGTACAGATAAGACATGGTCTGTCATAATTTTGACATAATTCGTGTTCGTGTGTTTACTTTTGATAGAGCCGTGCATTGATTGTGTCGACAGTAGGACCGCTCGATAAATAGCTAAAATGGCCTGTCTTGTGACGTGTAACTAATATTAAACTCCATCTCCTAATGAATAAACATACGTATAGCTTCGTTTGTATGTGTTTATTCATTCGTTTGTTGCCGGAAAGCATAGTAAGTACATAAAATAGAAAACACGTAAATAGAAGATTAGCGAAAAAGAATCACTGAAGCTAGGTATATGCCCTCAAGGATTTCGGGCTAATCGGCAATAGCTCTTCTCTGGAATAGGAGAAGCGATAGGCTTGTAATGTAAGGAGTGAGCTCTATCAATATAAGAATGTGGTAGTTGTGCTGCTGCGAAACGGATCAGTTAGGACACTTGAGGGAAGTTTATTTTTTCTCAGTGTCCTATTGCTGCTGCTGGCGCCGCCGCTGCGATACTTAGAATTTTTTTGGGCGAAACATTAGCGCTTAGAATTTTTCTAAACGTCTTATTTGTGCTGTAGATTAAATGTCATAGGCACCGACAGCGTGTCGAAAGTTCCACCTGTTTAAAAATCTAGATTACGTTATCCTGCTATATTAGAATAAATTGTTCAAGGTTGTCCAAGTCATCGGACCGATTCAATTCAGACGTACAGATGAAATCGTCTTTATCATACCTGAAGTTAGCGCGGCGGGAGGGTAAAAGGGGCAAAGGTCTCTTAAGAACATTAAGGTCTTCACCTATTTTTTTATACTTTTACCATGCTTTACTCGTTTCCTATACAAGAGAAATGAATCTGTCAAATAACTGTACCAGCTTATCAGGGTGCCCTGTATATTTTACAAGTGACGGGTATTCAATACGGCTTGTATACTCAAACTTAAAGGTCCTGTTAATACGTAATGATTACTATAAGTAATCATTTTTTGAAAGTAGTTGATTCAAAATAAGAGTTAGCGACGAAAGTATGCTGCTGAAAAACTGCGAAGAAAGTTACAACAAGTTTGATACAAAACCTAGTAAATAGATAACACGGAAACAGGGAATATTGTATACTCCTTCGTGTGTTTACAATTCGTAGTTGGAAAGCCACTGCAATCGGTTCATTAATAAAAATAGTTGTCGAAAATCAGCTCTTTTAGGCGATCGAAAAGTCAACTGGACTGATGGCCTTTTTTAGAGCATGAAAGCTGCTATGAAACCTTGCCAAAGCCCCACATCGATTCAGCGTGAATACACTCTTCCAAAACCACCAAATGTATCATAATTTATCCAAAGAGAAAGTCTTCCAGATATCATGACAAGAGGTAACGAATGTTATCTCTTGTCATGTACTAATTTCGTTTTTGTCTAATTCTATTTGATTTTCGTCCACGGCACCAGGGAACTCTCGCTATCGTAACGAACCCCCGCTTTGTGGTCAACGGAAGCTTAGAATCAATATCATTCATTGCGCTGTTGGGTCTGGGACTAGAGCAGCTCACCATAGTCATTTTTGTCAGTTGAGTAACGTCGTGCCTGTATCGTCATCCATATCGAACGGGACGCGGACTCATACTCAAGGAGTATGCACTGATCTGCGTTTCAATCACTCTATTTGATTTCATTATATCTAGCTTTATGCGAATTGTTACTTTCGTATTTACCTAGATTTACCCTTTACTGAAACCCTTATTTTCCCTAGAATATTCTATTCCCTAAAAGAATTCCCCTAGATAGAAATACCCTTAGTTACCCGAAGGGTTATGGGCCTACAGATACCCTGTTCTTGTGCTGTACTACAAAGCATCGCTACGATAGCTCAACTTGTTAAGTCGAGAACAGCTTTTTTTGCAGGTCTGATTCTTTCAAAATAGCGATTTATTTACCATTTGTTCATTGCTTAGATGAACGACGAATCAGAATAATATTTGGTATCGTAAGAGTTACAGTTATTCTAGTTGCTAGTGTAAAAAATAATTAATTATTTTTTTTTTCTTTTGTTTATATTTTCATTTACAGCAAGAAGTGATCATACAGGTTGTCAATGCATAAAACGGTGGTCATTAGTAATGGACTCCATTTCGATGATGTACACGATTCTCTTCGGGCTGCTCTTGACTAGGCTGGTATTCTGCCACCCCGTCGACGAAGAATATCTTAAGCAGGTCATTCCCATCTCCTCGGAACACTTTATTGACCCTTAGGTAAAAGCACATATAAGGCTGCTTAGAAACCTTCGATCCTGCCTTTTTCTGCGATCACAGAATTGTTTATAGGCGTAGTTTATAACAATTATGCTTTATTGTATTTCTGTTCTACAACTATCATTAACCTGGTACTTGCCTCGTTCCCAGCAGTCCAAAACACACTCCATGAAGTGGTTAGTCTATAACGAGTACTGTAACAGATGCCTAAGCGCAAATTAAGCCCTAAGCTCAATGGACGCATTGATTTATATATATATATT